GCAACTGGATTTGATATGATTACAGTGCACACAACACGGAGTAACTAAAGGATATGATATGATTACCGTGCCCGCAACACGGAGTAACAAGTTCAACTTAAATATCATCGAGATCCTATGATTGTAGAAATATCTTGTTCCCTGAAGTTAATGGATGTTAGAACAGCTATAGATTCAACTGATTTACTCATGCACTTAATCAGAAAAAATACATGCATATGCTAACATTAAATGAAACTGTTTTTAAAAGTTGTTCAACCATTTTAAGCTTTATTCAAAGTTTGTTACAATATCTCTCCTCATTGTTTTGATGTATGTTATAAAGTCCAGCCGCTGAATGTAACGAATAGTGTTTCATCCACTGAGTCAACTCATATCGTAAAATACATTGGAATAATTTGATCGACTGAATCATTGTTCTATTAATTGGTCAAATATGCAGTATGGCTTTGTGTGGTCTTCTTTCCTTGATAAAAATGTTGAAATTAATGAAAAATGAGGCACTGTCATAACAACTACACCATTACCAGACATACACTGGTCAGATTTCTCGTGGTAATATGTGCTTCAGTAGGGTAACATGGTACCTTTATTTTGTTGTGGTTAGACATTACTATTTGTCTAAACACTTACGACTCTTATTCCGTAATCAAACTTAACTTAACTTAACTAAACTTAACACGGAGTAAGAAAGGATATGATATGATTACCGTTCGCACAACATCGAGATAAAAGGATATGATATGATTACCGTGCACACAACACGGGGTATTAAAATGATATGATATGATAACCGTTTGCACAACATCGAGATAAAAGGATATGATATGATTACCGTTCGCACAACGTCGAGTATCAAAAGGATATGATATGATTACCGTTCGCACAACGTCAAGTTTTAAAAGGATATGATATGATAATCGTTCGCACAACATCGAGATAAAAGGATACGGTATGATTACCGTGCAAACAACACGGAGTATTAAAAGAATATGATATGATTACCGTTCGCACAACTTCGTGTAACAAAAGGATATGATATGATTACCGTTCGCACAACATCAAGATAAAAGGATATGGAATGAATATCGTGCACACAACACGGAGTATTAAAATGATATGATATGATTACCGTTCGCACAACATCGAGTAACAAAAGGATATGGAATGAATATCGTGCACACAACACGGAGTATTAAAATGATATGATATGATTACCGTTCGCACAACATCGAGTAACAAAAGGATATGATATGATTACTGTGTCCACAACACGTAATAACAAAAGATATGATATGGTTACAGTGCACACAAAATGTTTTTTTTTCCAATTTGGTACTCTAAAGACCAAATGTTTTGAAGTCTAAAATTTGAAAACATTTAAACAAAACGGATTTATAAACAGAATGTTAAGAATTCAACATGTTAGCAGCTCAGAAAAAAGTAAATAAATAAGCTTCAGTACAATTACTTACTTTTATTAACATACAATTTACATTGAAATCATTTCAATACCTATGCACTGTGTACTAGTCAGATGCTATCAGATGGTATCCTCAGGAACCCTCCAGGATTAATATTCCACCACAGCATTACCCACCGAGTGGTAGTAAAAACATATTGGATGTCTGTGCTTTTAGTAAAATATAAATGCTTCAACAAATATCAAATAGACACTGACCTTTATTAAATTTATGCAAATATTGATAAGACAGACAAATTAATTCATACATTAACATGAAATTTACAAAATCAAATCAACAATTTTAGCATTATCAGTACATTTTTTTTTCTGGAATTATGAATGCAGCTTAAATGTAAACAAAGAGGTTTTCAATAAATTGTGTTCTCCTTACCTGAAGTTCAACTTACATAGACTTCGTAAAATACATAGGAAGGTTGATTGATTGACTGTTGGTAGGTTTTTTGTCATTCATTTACAAATATTTCATCATGAAAATTAGAAATGTGGTATGATTGATAAAGAGACAAATATGAACCATATAGACGAAGACAAGGATGTAAAAAAGGGGGAAGATATCAATGGGGTAACTGAAACCATTAGTTTATAGTTATAACACACCATGGTAAAAGAATTGACGAAAAATCAAACAAAAGCCCACTATATACTACACAGACATCTTTATTGATCGAGAAACACGAATCTCATACAAAAAAAACGGATTTGAACTAAGATGCTCTGGAAAGGTCAACCGTTTCTTCTCCACCAGTGACACTCGTTGTGTTACCATTGTTGAAATCCGCTGATAAGTCATATTAATAATAAGAAATCACACAATAGCGTATTGGTAAATTTCTCTTTTCTCAACAGTAGATATAATCAAAGTGCATATACCATCGGCCCTGTAAACTATCTAACCAGAAAATTTTGATTGAATGTGAAAGTTTTTGCTGAAATGATTCTCAAGGACAAAGAATACAAAACACTTGTACCAGAAGAACCAAAACAGGCATTGAAAAAAACTGACAAAATACTAGTAAACCACTTTAAACGAAGCACATGAAACATGAACCCCTTATAACAAAACTAGAATGAGTCAGGTGCTCCGGAAGGGTAAACAACTCCTGCTTCTCAAACATTCAAACAATTCAATGCTACAGAGGACGAGAAAAATGTAAACAATAAATCAGTAAGGCAGTTTCTGTATTATGGGTTTCCGGGATGAAGAACAGTCAGCCTTGACTGCAACTTGAAGAGAGATACTGGGCAAAACATTTCCATTGAAAGCGGTCACTTACGGACATGAAAAAGAGTTGTTACAGGGGAGTTTTAACTTGCAGACAGCGTGACATTCTCTTAACAAGAGGCATCGTCTCCTGTTGTATAATCGTGTGATTTTTTGTTTGTTTGTTGAGCTTTATAATCTTCAATTTTATGGTGTCTCATCTAATTATACCAGTAGAGAATCTAATTATACATTTGAATATATAGAGAAAGATTAAGATACAAGTTTGGTCCAGTTAAAGAATGAAACAACTAAAACACTAATTAAACAATCGTCTGTTATTCTATAGTGCAACATTGTTATATTTATTCATCAAATGTAACTCATATTTAATATTCAATCGGCTCCGGGTAACATTTTAGAGAATTCTACTAATGACGAAATACATCTTGAGGTCAAAAGGAAGTTTGGCTCCGTGTGGTCATCCGTCCTGTATAAACAATGTTAAAATTTATGAAACATGAGGAACTGTCATAACAACTACACCATTACCAGACATACATTGGTCAGTTTTCTCCTGGTAATATGTGCCCCAGTAGGGTAACATGGTACCTTTACTTTGTTGTGGTTAGACATTACTATTTGTATAAACACTTACGACTTTAAGTCTATCAAAATCACTTCACTGTTGTATGTACAATACAGACACATGACTCTGGATACAGTTCACATCAAAAACAAGAAATGTAATTGATAATGGGATAATGGTTTTTTATTTCAACTTTCTATCAATCACTTTTTCTAAGTACTGTTTTTGAACATTACTCGTGTTTATAGTGTGAATCTTTATAGTAAAAATGTGTATCAAATCAAATAAAGGGGGTTTTACAACACACACACATATATATATATATAAATTGGTAGAGATGGAAGTTAGCTATTGCTTACTGATTCTGCTTTTGAATATATTTCAATTCAGAGGATTAATTGTTTGTAAGACTTTCCATTAAACTATATTTTGATTAACCCGTGTCAAAGAGGAAGAACTGCATCTTCTTTCACTGTATTTGATACCTAAATAATACAATTCTATATGACTGTCATACAAGTGAGAGGTTTAGCTAGCTATAAAACCATAATTTTATCAACAATCAAAGCCTACTCTAGAGGTGGCGTGAATCAGATGTTGATACTAAAAAATTCCAAAGATCTGTTAAGAGTACATACAATCTGCGAGAGGCGAAAGATACCAAAGGGATATCCAAACTCATAAGTCGAAAATAAGCTGACAACGCCATGCATGGCCAAAAAGAAAAAGACCAACAGACAAACAACTGTGCACAACACACAACATAGAAAACTAAAGACTGAGCAACATGAACCCCACCAAAACCGAGAGTGATCTCAGGTGCTCCGAAAAGGTAAGCATACCCTGCTCCTAAGACATAGTATTAAAACATTTGACTTTTCTACCCTTTTCACAAGTATTCTCCGTTACAAACTAAAAGACAAATTAAAAGAATTGATCCTGTTTTTTCCATAAAACAAATGGCCAACGTAGATACAAATATTTTGTTTTAGGGAGGGATTTTTATATCAAATAGATTCGCGCTATGTTTGAACATTTGTAAACTACTGTTGCCTCTTATTTCCATCAGAGATTGCCAGAGTTGGTCTAATCAGAGATTGCCAGAGTGCGTCTCATCAGAGATTGCCAGAGTTGGTCTCATCGGAGATTGCCAGAGTGGTTCTCATCGGAGATTGCCAGAGTGGTTCTCATCGGAGATTGCCAGAGTGGTTCTCATCAGAGACAGCCAGAGTGGCTCTCATCAGAGATTGCCAGAGTGGTTCTCATTAGAGATTGCCAGAGTGGCTCTCATCAGAGATTGCAAAAGTGAATCTCAAAACAATATCCACCAATGCTATGTGAAGAGATAACAAAGTGCCGGTTTGATCATAAGTTGATATTGATGAAAGTACTAAATATTGAATAAAATCAGTGCATGAAATAATGTACTTATTGAGGACTAATAGTGCATCAGCTGCTAGATGGCTTTTGAATGATACGTATCTTAATTGCATTGTACCATCGGGAAGATACATTTTGTTTATTCGATGTTTATTCCTCAATTTGTTTAGTACATATAGGTTATGCAGTTTGTGCAAACTTCTTGTTCAACATATGACATTTCGAGTCTTCAAAATTATCTTTTGTACTTTGCAAGGCTTTCCTTTAAAATATTTGCTTTACATTTACTACCATAAGTTCTTACTTTGTTGTGCTCAAAGTTATAAATGCACAAATACTGAATATAGACGAATGACTAGCTTTATTCTCATTGACAAACAGTGCATAGTAGTGAGAACTTCATTCTCGAGTGTGTTTAATCTATCCGTATTTGGCACAACTTGGATTTTTCGGTTTTTTAATGCTCTGCAACTTTGTTTTTCGGTTGACCTTCCAACTTCGAGGGCTAATGAGTCTTATATAGAAGAAAGACGCGTATGGCGTACCAAATTATATGTTTGGTTTAAAATGAATAATTATGTTTTGATTCAGAATATAGGGAGAAACAAATGTATTCTAATTCAATTCATTCCATATATTTGTATTAGCTTTTTATGGGGGAGGGGGGACTATACAAAAACAATGCACATTATAAGACGTTATGGGTTTTACGGTCCTTTGTAAAGAAAATTTTGTAAGATACCAGGACATGTGTTGAACTATAGATTTTTTGATGGGCAGAACAAATTTTTTGATGGGCAGAACAAATAGATTTACAAAACAAATAGAGGAAAATTTACCAGTGATATTTTGGCAATTGCTACAAGCCCCCTTTAATCAAATAGTTTTTAATAAAACATATCTAACTTTCAAAAGTTTTGGTTATAACTTTTTCTCGACGAAAGTTAGTCCAGAACAGGTCGTCATACTGCAATAAATATGGTTTCTTTGATATTAAACGGTTAGCATACACACAAGAAAAATATCTCAAACTGATCGTTGTTAACAGCTAGGTTTTTCGTTATCGTTTTTATCATTATTTTCTTTATTACATTTATTTTTTAAACAATTTTAAGAAAAAAACATTTAAACGTCTAAAATCTCATGCAACTGAAGAGATGTTAGCGTTGATCTTTTCGGTAGGAAATTGCTACATCTATAAAATAATTATCTTTAAGACAATCAGTGTAAATCTATTTTAAATTGCAGTATAAAATGTCAAATCATCATTTAAAAAACACTAAAATATCATGTAAAATATGCGATTTTGTATATAATTATATAATTACTGTGCGTAATAAAATTAATTATGCGCATAAAATACTGGCATACATACGATACTATGAAAGTCAGATCGGAAATAGCTAATACTACGTTAAAGGGGGACTATTCTTTGTATAAACACAATTGTTGATATAGCGATGGTGACGTTTAGTGTCGTTTTCTACAGACTTGCTGCCGACGAAACTGTTTGTTAAACATTTTACATCTGTCTCGGATGTCTTTATTCTTTTGTATTATTCAAAATAACAAAATGAAGGCAGTTCACGTATTTCCCTAGTACTTTGTTTCCATGCAATTTCTGTCACTTTAAACACATCCAACAGGACCACCTTCAAGTAAGCTGCTTTTTCTTTTCATTCTTGAATTGAGAATCTGTCTTGGTCGATTTAGTGCGTCTATCATCACACAAATACTTTTTACAACTACTGAAATTAGAAGCAAATTCTCTTGATTTGGCTAAAGTGAAAACTGTCGTTTCAAATTTCGAATAATTTTTCACACTTGGTGTATCATTAACAATCGTCACAACTCCACTTCTTTACAACAACTTGAAAAATGACATCGTAAATTAAATTAATATAAAAGAATTTTCATAGCGGTTTCATAAATTGTAGTTTTTATGGGTAAAAATTATAATTTCGAATTCAAAGAGAATATCTCTGTTAGCGCGTGCGCACATTGAGCACATTAAAATGGTGATTTTAAATTTAACTATAGTGAACACAAATTAGGTAGTACTCGAGACGTAAAGAATCAATGAAAAAAAATTGATACATAAACAATAATATGAATGAAATCGTCTTTCAATATGACAAGGCATTATTTTCTGGTTGACAACCGGAGAGTTAGTACATTGTTCGGTCTTATACCTTACCAGTCGCTTTTTAACTTTTGTCGTATAATTACAGTTCACAAATGAGGAAATAATTATGATTATAATAAAAAAATGTTTAACGGACTGTCTCCAATAATTTATTTGGTAAGTAGATGTTATTTTTTCCAGCAAAGCTTAATTGAAAAATAGCTCTCATTAAGTCACTTGTGTTTGCTTGCAACAGCATCAAGCCCTCACGGGTATTCAATGGAAAGATCGAATGTGTACTTAGGAAATTATCCCAGGTAAGCGTAATTGTCTGTATTTATCGTAAAGGGTTATATTTCAGCTCAATAAATTGAAGTAACGTTTTAAAACGGGAAAAGAAAGCAATCTATGATTCGACTAAACACGGAAATGTGGATCATTAAAGATGCCTCTGCTGTTTAAACTCTAGTCAACAATCCACCGTGCTAAAATAATGCATTCACTTTTGAATATTGAAAATTGACAAACTTCATTTAAATTGTTTATTTCTATATCATTGTTTGAGTATCTTAAGCTATAAACGGAACCTCCTGGTCAAAGGTCGTTAATAGTTAATTTTAGTGGGTTGTTGTTCTAAAGCTACCTCCAGGTCAAAGAGCTTTGATGATGAAAACATAATGACTTTTGAACCATTTCAACTTTCACTAAGTCCCATTAATGTTAAACTAAACGGTAGGGTTTCAGTAAGGTTTGACCGACCCCATAAATGAATTTTATAATGAAGGACGGTCCATTTAATATTAGAAAAAAAAAGTCTGTAAATTATTTAAAAAATATTTTATTACTTCACAACTTCATTGTATAATATATTTTAGTTGATAATATTTGTTAAGTATTACTTGAAACAAAATTTCACTGAGAACAAGGTACAGAGAAAATCCTAAGATTTTTTAAAATTAATTTAAAGAATTAGGACTTTTCATAGAAAATATTCACTATCGAGGTAAAGATAAATTAACATATTTTCAAACTTTTCTTATAAAGAAAACAAACATCCACAATATTCAAATTTCTTCGATTTTACAACAAAATAATCAACAACAAAATAAAACCATACACTTAAATCTTAAGACTGAAAAAAATAGTATCAAATAATTAAAGAAGCACAAGATTTTATCTGCCTTGTAGAAAGACATGTTTAAGTAGTTAAAATGATAAGTTAGTAACAGAAAGCACGAGTCTGTTCATCACTTCCTTTATTTTACTGATGATAATCAAACTACTTAATATTTGATATAAAACCAATGCAAACGGATTACCACAGGTTTACTTCACATTTTTCAAAATTTTATGACTAGAATGAAAAGTTTTCTCTTGATGAATGTCAAGATAAAAGATTAGTATATGATACAAACTTGAAATATCTTGGTGATCTTAATCACATTAATGTGTATACCTATCCTTTTATACCGTTATTCCTCCTACATTCAAAATAGAAGACAAAATGTCCGAAAAACATGTTGATATTTATATATAAAACATGTTGATATATAAAATATAATTTTTATATTCCTGAACTCATTTTGTTTTGATTTTAATATTCAATGTTCAGTTTTTTTAATGTTTCCCATGTGAGTTTGATATAAATTTTAGCTTTGAAAATATGTTTTTTAATCCGTTTAATGTATAGTGTTGGTTCTAATGTCGTACGGTGTAGACACTGCATACTAAAACTGTCTTCATTATTCACGTGACATCGATTCGTGTAGAATTTACTTCGACCTTCACGTAAAATGATAATGGATGTACTTTTTAATAAATATAATATTTTTTCAATGATGCGTTTTATGTATATTTTCAGGTGAAAACTCGTACTGGGTACAGTGAAGCTGAACAGTAATAAACATCGTTCGTATCCTGTTGTCAACAATCGAAATAAAAAAATAATTAAAAAAAAATAATAATCATTACTTCCATTTAAATAAATTATCTAAATATTTCACAAGAAGTAGGACGCATTTTGTATTTTGTACTTTCCTATCTGTTGAAAGAAATTACATCCACATACATGTATATATCATTTTTTATATTTCAATATAAATTTATACAATATGCAGTCACAATACTGGCAATATAGTTCCTTACTGTATTATTCCATGGCATTATTTTTTCAGTATTATTTTTATTCTGATTCCCTATGATTAGTTCTGTAAGTCATTCTGTAAGCATATGGACTTCGTCTATCATAATGAATTGGTATGGTGTATACTGAATGGAATATTTGATAACATGATTGTGACCCATTCATCTTGAAACGCTTTATAAAAGGCATACTTTCGGTCTGTCAATCACATTTTATTTGTTATAATCTTTGGATTATCTAGATCCATCAAGAGTCAAGGAAAATGATTTAAACCACGAAAAATCATCAGTTTAAAAGATAAATATTTAATTGAACCTGTGATTTATTAAAGGTTGAATATATATATATATACACGTTGTTGGAATCTTATCTAATCGAGTCTGATTGAAAACCTTGTTTTTAAAACTCCGAGCAAATCGTCTCATTGATGAATGTGTGTTTTGTTTTTATTATTCTCGACAAGCGAAGATATTATCTGGTTTAAAGTCATTTAGTGAATGTTACTGTATGTTAATGGTGTCTTGTGCTACTGTGCCCTAGGATGAAATCTGACTTTTGATGTGGTCCATTAGAGCAAACGTTCTATGCATGAACTACTATAGAGAGTTAAAATATACCCGGTAGCAAATACACAGAATATCTAACAAAACACAGGTGACAGACGTACAGTTAATTGACAACTACTATAACTTACTACTTTTTTCTCATATTGACTGTCTATCATAGAACAAATTATTTTTAACAAGTGGAAAATGTTAATCAACATGTTTTCACATACATTTTTCAAATGCAAATAATCCCATTACATTGCCGCTTATGATAGCAATTGTCCATGTACCTGTATACATGTTGGTACTTCACAATCCTAGCTATTTGTCCATGTACCTGTATACATGTTGGTACTTCACAATCCTAGCTATTTGTCCATGTACCTGTATACATGTTGGTACTTCACAATCCTAGCTATTTGTGATTCTTCTTTTTCTGATATCTTATTATTCATATATAGATAGAACATACAGAGTTGCGAAAGGCCAATCAGAAAGGTATAATACTCAGGTTCTCAGGAAGGGCATGCAGTTCGAGTGTGAAAAGTACATGTGCTAATATTCAACCGTGCATCTTGACGGGTTTATTTTTTTCTTTCTATTTGTATTCCATAACTGAAAGCTGCATCTTTTTTGATGCATCAGGACATTTGAATTTTTCTAACATACTTTATCGAAAATAAACTTTCACTCAGTCAATCTTAAAATAACGAGTTAGAAATAACGAAACAGTATTAACACTATAAAAAATATTTGTATTTGTATGACTATATTTTATACATTTCCTTTAAAGTCATGTCGTCACATAATATATAATGACAAATGAATACGAAATTCAGTTTAATGTAGAATATAGTCTTTGCAAAACCAAATTTTGAATATTTTTCATATTCTTATGATCTCTCTAATGTTAATTTGAAGTTCATTTCGAAATTATATGAAAACAATAATGCAATCAGATATAGGCCGCCATATGTAAACCTTCTAGGTGTACTAACAATGTACGACAAGCGTGATGAATTGAGTTTTAAAGTATTCAAATTCCCATTTCTTGGATTATAATTATTTATAAATTTCGTATTCGTTTCCCTATTTTACTGCATATACCTTCCTGGATAGACATGGAATGGTGTCTTAGCAGCTTCTCCGTCAGGATTATATTCAGACTATCGGGTGCTGGTCCACCATAAAGTTTTAAATAAAATCTCTAATAAGTTGGTTCATCTTTAATGTGGAATATATAATTGCCTTTACGAAACATAAATTTGATTATTTTTCCTATTCTCATATAAATGTAAAAGCAGAAAATCCAAATATATAAAGGACATAATTGGAAATTCAACTGTCATTATAATTTGTATGAAAAATTAAAAAAAAAATATAATGTTGTCTTTCTTTTCAGAAGCCGTGCTTTGTTTGATTGTAAATAGATGCCTTCACAGTGTCTTTTATGTTTTTATACTGCGCTTTCGATAACCGTTTTGATATTCCCTTTAATAATCTTCCAGTCAGACTGGTTTAGTTCTGCGTAAGTTGAATAACAAGTTTACACAATGCGTTTAAATACATTAACGGGTTAACGAAATTTAGTGTGCAATCACAATTGCTAGAATTTTACTAGAACACGTATATAATCACAGTAAATTCTTGAGAAAAAAAATTAAAAAAACAATAACATTGTATTTATAATTGATTCTGTCAATGTCATATAAAGCATATACCATAATATGATATTTTCTGTTTTTTGTTAAGAACTATTGTTGATATCAGATAGTCAGCTATTCATATTATTAATCTGATACTTTTCTTACCATCTGATACAACACTTGATTACATAACTCTTTGTGTATTTTTAAGCTGCAGAACATATTATAACAGTAAAATGATACGAGGTTCACAACCACAGGGAAAGTCAAGGAGACACAACCACGGGGTAAACGTCAGGGAGACACAACCACGGGATAAACGTCAAGGAGACACGACCACGCGGCAAAACTCTGGGAGACACAACCACGGGATAAACGTCAAGGAGACACGTACAACAACGGGATAAACGTTAAGGAGACACAACCAAGTGGTAAAAGTCGGGGGGACACAACCAGGAGGGAAAGTCAAGGAGACAAAGCAGCAAGGTAAACGTTAAGAGACACAACCACGAGGGAAACGTCAAGAAGACAAAACAGCAAGATAAACATCAAGGAGAAAACACCATGAGGAAAACATCAAGGAGACACAACCCTGAGGTAAAAGTCGGGATTCAAAAACACGAGGTAAACGCCAAGGATAAAAAAAGCAAGAACAATCAATCAGTTTATCATATAGACCTTGACTTTATCAAGAACTTAATATACTAGAAGACACTGTCGTGTAATATTTTTACCTGATCTACTGACATTTTAAAAGAAAAATACTATGCAAATAATTTACAAAAGAGATCCATGCAATAGAACATTGATATGTTGAAGAGAAACTGACCAAGCCATGACAAAAACGACGAAAAGACAAACAAGTCTCCAAAACCATACATAAAAAAAAACTGCATGAGCAAAACAAACCCCACCAAAACCATACATAAAAAAACACTGCATGAGCAAAACAAACCCCACCAAAACCATACATAAAAAACACTGCATGAGCAAAACAAACCCCACCAAAACCATACATAAAAAACACTGCATGAGCAAAACAAACCCCACCAAAACCATACATAAAAAACACTGCATGAGCAAAATTTACAAACCCCACCAAAATCAAAGGGTGATATCATGTGCTCTGAATTGGGTACTCCCTTTTTCTGTAAAGAGCCTACCACCAGATTTAGTTTTTTTTTGTATATTACATCCCAGGCTATAGGTATTCAAGGCCTCAAATACTTCGTTTTTCATATTGCATTTTGTGAATTTTATGGCACAGCTTATTTCATTTTACCGGTTCTCTAACAGCTTTAAAGGGGCAAATAAGCAGAGACATGTTTGCTTATTCACTAGCAAGTGAAGCTTAAGAAATTAGTTAAATTATATCCTAAATTTGAACAGAAACTAAGGATCAGTGAACTAAAAATCAAATAAATATCAGGTCTATTATTATATATAGAAGTAACATGTCTATTATAATATATAGACGTAACATGTCTGCTATTATATATAGAAGCAACATGTCTTTTATAATATATAGAAGCAAGTCTTATTCAGCATAAAACCAAAGGAATTTGTTATATTGCTTTATTTCCATTACAACTTGTTTGAAACACAGAGAGGTCAGAGAGTCCAAATTAAGATATTGTGGTTACATTAATGAACAAAGTAAAATATACATGAAAAAGAATACGTTTTTGCGATAATTAGTTGGTACAAATCAATTCATCAACTTTCTATTCTCGCGAGAGTTTCTACAACATATTTGATCGACAAATATTATTCTCATTGTTCTAAGAGACTGTAAAACTGTTTTGCGCTAGCGTTTTACTCAAATATTAATGATATAAACATAATTTTGAAATGTAAAATAAAAACTTAATCATTGATAATAGTTTGAAGCTGTTAAGTAATTGCAATTAAAAACGTCAGATCTATTATTTTTCGTATGCAAAGCTGAATGTTCCATTTGGACATTAATACATATAAAAAAAGTGAAACAAAACATGAAAACATGAAAACATGAAAATATGAAAATATGAATAATGAAGAGACAATATGAATCATGTATGGCAAAACAAAGGTTTTAAGAGTCATATTGAGTATAAAGACCTACAGTAAAATAGAAATACAAAAACTATAGAGCATGAATAAAATGTAAGCTTTCATCACGCATAAAGATGTTCTATCACTGATCAACGTTCGATGATTAGGTTGAGTGTATATATCCCATCGAACTTGAAACAAAGGATGCTGCAGATATATAGTAAGATCTTATTCGATACCTTAACTTAATCCAAAAAATTGACACTGAGGGTTGGAAAAACTAACCTTCACGATAGAAGATATATTATTTCCCCGTTAATGATTTGCCTTTTTTTATGTAGCAACGTTCCACTAGCACCTGCAAATGGAACATATATATCCCAGTTGATACAATATTCAAGGGCTTATCTTTCATATCAGGATTTCCTTGATAGAGGATTGCTTCGAAGAAGGATGTTGAACCAAGTGTACTCAATGGTTAAATTGAAGTTTTGTTTTTGAAAGTTATTTTATATGGAAGCCATCATGAATTGGTTGGTCGTTATTAAATATATGTGTTACAAAAGACAACAGATTTATTCCATTTTTCATATCAATAATTCCATCCTCATTTCCTCATTAATCATAAACTAATGCGACTTATCAGTGAGCATCAAGTCAGGTGAACAGAATCTGAAAGAATGATTTCTACTCACCTGCAAGGTCATAAGATAGAGGTCAAAGGTCCATCTTATGTTGAAATGTACATATAAAATATATCGCACTTCTTAAAAGTTACCATCCAAAATTTTCATTTTTAAATGAGTATGCGTCAACAAGGAATTCCTTTGAAGACAAAACACACTTAGTAACAGCGACAACCACTGAAGGAGCTCCTGGTTGTGTTAACACATAAACATTCAAAACGGTTTAACTACTTTTTAGTATTCAACCATTCCCTGTTATCTCGATTGGTGGGAAATCTAAAAAAAAAGATAAATACAAGAGAACACCCACAACACGAATAAATCCAGAGGCTGTCCAGCGAGGAAAATATCATAAATATATAATTAATAGGGATCCCTTGCTTAGAGAGTAAGGAGACAGTCTCTTTTGTGAATTTTGATTGTTTGAAATATTGTTAACAGACTTGAAAGCTATAATCTTAAACAAATAAAAATTAAAGAACAGTTTTAGCAATTATTTTCGCATAAATACACCATGCAACACTATTGTTCTTGGTGATCCAGAAAAGCACTTCGAATGCAGAAAATTTGATTTGTATCTCACCATTCTTCCTCATTATAAAACAAGTACTTCACATTAGAAAAAGTCTTCCTCATTATAAAACAAGTACTACACATTAGAAAAAGTCTTCCTCATTATAAAACAAGTACTACACATTAGAAAAAGTCTTCCTCATTATAAAACAAGTACTACACATTAGAAAAAGAGCTACTGAATATATAACAAAATGTTATCATATAAAGGGCCAAATAGGGGAACATATTACAAGTAAAACACAAGCAGGATAAAGAAAACATTATGTATAATAGTACACAGACAGCCAGTTGCCATTTGACATGCTTGTAATTGACATACCGTATTGTCCATAATACAACTTAGACTGCGTTTTCAAATAAAATCTTTCGTCAAACATTTTCTGTTGTCACATGAAACTAATCAAAATACATTTAGTTTTTAATGTGGAATTATCTTTGCTACCGAGCAGACAAATCAAAACATCTAAAAACCCATAATTTATATTTTATAAAAATCAATGTTAAAATGCTTTAAAACAGCGATGACGTAGTTTGTAATGGAGACGTGGTCTGTTCAATATCACAAAAATACAAGCCATAATGATAAATGTAATATACCAAAGTTATGTCAACTGCCATGGCTTTCTGTCAGTAGCTGAAGACTGTCAAAAATGTTTTACACAATGATAAGGATCTGCAGGAGATTATCTAACGTCGTGAGAACCAGGAACCACTATCTCGCCTTATCTTTACTGCTAAAGTGCACCTGAAAAATGATTTAAAATGAAATATTTTGACGATCTGTTTAAGATTCTACTTTGGCATTATGTATTTATGAATAATAATATATGTTTATTGAGATATACAATATCATTAGTAGTAATAAAAAATGAAATCACATGTACTGCTGAATCAGAATAAACTTTGGCTCATACTTATATTCAATCCAGAATTATTAATACTGATGAGTATAAAACCGAAAATGTCAAATAATTGCTGGTATCGTCATTTCTAAATTTGACCAGCATGGACATACATTTCTGTTTTTTATCGGAGTTTTGATAAGGTAAATTCTTAGGATAGCAAGACTAAATATTAACTGGCATTGATGTTGGCAATAAAAAGAAGTGTCTACCACTTAAAATTTAATCGTTTTCATACTAAAGCTACACCGACCTGGTAAAATACTATACTGCACGTTCGATATCACGTGATGTGATATTGCTTAATCCAATTAATGGTCAAATGTAGGAGTGATAACACCAGAAACATTTATAGTCTCGGGTTTAGAGATAGTTCCACGACAAGATTTTTGTAAAACTACCACATGCCTATGATTCTTCATCAAGTAAAACACGTCTATTACTCATACGAAGACTTCAAACAGAATGGTGCACCTGTTTTCAATGACCAGAGAAGTGCCATCCTTAAATTAATAGTATTTTTTCTCACTTCAGACCCAAACATATCAAAATATATACATTAAATATCATAAATATTAATATTATCATAAAATAAAGTATATATTAGAAACATCAGATTTATCTGCACTGTAATTTCAAGTTGAATTGGGCCCTTGAGGCACACGCTGATCATATGTAAAGATATCTTTACGACAAAGAGAGAGGGAACTAGTTATATTTTGTTATATTTGTTTTTTCATGGCGGTAATTAAAACGATTTGCATAAAAAGGACGACAAACGGACAATATATATGCAGTTATTATTTTTTTTTGTGTGTTGTAATTTGAGATAAAATCTCAAAGCAGTTATCCGACGATAATCTTAACTTTTCACGATATTTCATATATTTTCATACATTTGACGTAACGTTAGCATTGCAAATTTTGTACAGTTCTGTCATATATAATTTCAAAACATCTGAGAGTTACCAGCATAAAAAGGCTTTTTTATAGTCTATATATAGAGAGAGAGAGAGAATAGTCAATAGTCTAGAAGTTTATCAGTGTTCTTTTTATTTTTTATTTTGTTATATTTCAATAATATATTTTGGCCAAAGGTTGTAAAAAGTATTTGGGGTGGGGAAAACACTTTTGAAAATATGGGACATTGCATTACCCGATTCCTACGCCCCAACATGAACAATAATTCTGCAACTATTCTGTTAAAAAAAAAAATTCTTTTTTTCAAAACAAAATCTTTTAAAAATTCATTCTAATCAAAGGATTTTTTTCTTGGTAAATTCAGCAATCATCTTTCAGTAGTTGAAATTTGTTAAACTATAACAAAACATGTTGCATAACTTTTCACGGTGGTCGGTGGTTTATTTTGATGGATTATTAATCATATATATGCGATTCGCTTATTTTTATTGATTTCTTCGTCGAATTACATGAAATATATATATGAAATTGTCTACATATAAAGATATTTACACAACGATGCAGTTGAACAAACTTCAAATGGCTTCTCTATCAAAAGACGATATCATTGGATAGGGGTCATTCATTTCTGTATTCTTCAAATTTTATACCGTTTTTTCTCTATTCTTTATTTATTTTGATCATTATTCTTTATTCTTTATGTTTAGCATCACATTATTCTCTATTCTTTATCTTTTTGGTCCATTTTTCTTTATTTTTTATTTTTTGCCCTTTATTCTGCACAATTTGCCCATTATTCTCTACTCAGTAAACCATATCCAGACCCTCCCCTATCTCAGCTGCAGTCAGTTTTAAATAAGTATGGGCAGTAGTGTAACAAGTTCTAATCTGGGGTCTTCGCCATATATTACAAGTATATATATACTTATTTTTGTGTGCACACCATTAGTTTTTATATGTATCTTACAGAGTGGTGAATATACATTAAAACCATGCATACAGGAGAGTTGTCTCATTTGCAATCATACCACATCTTCTTTTCATATATAAAATTACCAAAACTGTATAAAACCCTTGATACTGTCGAACATTGCCACTTAAGTTGGCTGTTGTCATCTTCATGTAAAGTAAGGATTCTCCGTTCCTTTTATTCTATTGTGAAAGGTGTACTTATAGTGGCAATATTTATAACATTTTCTTTTTCAGTAAAAAATATCCCGTTAACATCGAAAATGAATAGGCCCAGAGTGTATTGCTACTTATTTCATGCATAATTATAAACATTACCATCTTATACAGATATATATATAACTGTGAAATGGTCGATATTGCTATAGTTCAGTATATTGCTATATGACTAAAGTGCCATCTTGTGCATGTATTTATTCTAACTGCTTTGATCTTCACAAGTTGTTACCAGCAACACCGTATCGATATGTATATGAACAAGCTGCTTTATTTATCTTTAGAGTAGGACATCCTACTATGTATTCAGCATCTCTATGTAATATCATGATCTAAATTTTAACTTAGTTCCTAGAGAAGGATTCGGTTCTAAAGGTCCTTGAAAGTTTATCATGGTCTTGAACCGATCTGCCTTCAGCTTAATAATTTCGTTTCGATCGAAAATTATTCAAACGTTTATATCGTCTGTCAGCACATTCATACATGGTTTCTATCTTTCATATCTTAAAATGAAAACTCCATTAAGCAGGATTAAGTAATGCACACATTTAATAACCGAATAAATTATATTGTTACTTATAAAGATATACCTTAGATAAGATGATGCGGCATGATATAGGTGATGTATCGTAGGAATTAGCGGATAAATACAACAATTATAGCTTATCTAGATCATTCGTCTTCATAATCATCAGGCTTTGTCCATCTCATTTCCATTTCTTGCCCTTTTTGATAATGCACCATCAATATCACATTTTGATGACAATATCCATGTGCAGAATAAACTGGTGTTTATATCAACAACAGATAACATGCTGACAGGAAAAGGAACAAAGTTTGTTCTAACCAACTGACAGTTTTATATTCTGCAAAAAGTAGTAAAAAAAATCAAAAACAAAACAAAATGAAAACTCGAGAAAAAACGCAACTATTGAAAAAGAATTCAGGGGACTTGAAATAAAACTATGTAACTTTGTATATTGCAATGAGTTAATTTATGACCGTCTATGATATATCGTCAACACATATGAAACAAACTTCTTGCTTACCTTTTCAAGTAAAATATGATAATTTAACATTAAAACTTGCACTTTTTACATCGTTTAGCCGAGAAAAAAGCACCAGTAAAACTATTGAAACCATATAGTATATCTAATATTGAAATAGTGCGAAAACATATACACAAAAGCTCTTATTATAGTATATAGTTTTATTGCTTTAGATTTATTCATCGAAGAAGCAAACGGAACTGTTAAAATGACATATATGAACCTTAAAACTCATTTAAGAGTTTAAATGAAATGTTAATAAGTGTTTCTTTGGTGTCTATTTCACTTTTAATATTTATAGTACCTTTGTATATTAAAGGGCCTTTTTTATTTTTTTGATTAAATATGATCTGGGCGTTCGGGAACCTGACGCCGAGTTGATGTATATTGGTCTACTAAGGGATTCATCATGTTTATGGACTGAGATGTTTATATGTCATAATGCTTCTCGGACAATAACATCTTCGATGAAGTATAGGAAACGCATTGCCAACCACCCGGAACAACTGGCGCCCGACCACCACTTTACTTAAAATAGTCTGCGTTTAACAACTAGGGAACAACTTAAATTACCATTTTATTAACTCCAAAATTTCCCTAAATGCACATAAATTAAGCAAAACCTCGGCACGGAAAATAAATTGCTTATATTACCATATTAAAATTGATCCTTATATTGTTATAGGACAATGTAACTGACTCAATCGGTCGTAAGAACTCTGCTCTAGTAGAAATCATTATGATAATTATTTTAGATCATAATTCACTTTCTGTACAAAAACATCATTATAGGAGCGTAAAGCTAAATAACAATGTGTTTACTCTATTTTTGATATTTTACTGTATATTTACTATATATTTATTTCGTGGCAGGTGCTTAAAATACTATCATGTCGCCATTTTGTCGTCATTACCAATTCATTCCAATAAAATATTTCATTCATAAATTAGTGCCGTTTATTTTCCGTCCTTTATACATTCAGAAACGTTTACAACAGATCGGAAAAAAAATATGCTTAAAAATGTTTAATTTGCATGATTGAGTTGTACGTTAAATGCCATATGTGGTCAAATATTTCCATTTCTACATGTTTATCATATCAAAGTGATAAGTGATCTTTCTGCACTAAGTGTCCAGTATATATAAACCTGTTCATTTTAGCAATAAAATTAACATAATTATGAATGTTTTAGGGGTTAAATAAAGGCTCTCGTTATACTTCTTCCACATGTGAACAGTGCAATCTTATGATTTGCCATAAATATCTTTATGACGGCTACCCAACAACTCAGTATTGAATGCCAATTTCAAACATCTATGAACAAGCTGCATACTTATATATGTATTATTGTTATACGGCTATTTTTTTAATATTGCATTTCGAGTATGTATAAAGTGTAATAATGATATCGAAATCATTCTTTGACAATGTTTTCAATTTAATATATACTATTACAAATGTTTTGCATTTTGTATATACACACTTTGAGTATTGGAGTGCTATTTGTTCTGTTCTGTTCTGTTCTGTTTTGTTTTGTTTGTTTGTTATTGGTTTTTGGTTGATATGTTCGGGGGGGTTTTTTCGAGGGTAAGGGTGGTCTGATGTTTTTGTTTTCAGCGTATTCATGATAAAATTTTATTTTGGTTAAAACACGTCCTCCGACGCAAAGTACGAAAAATTTGCAATATTTAGTATTCAACAGTAATATGTAGCCCTGAAAAACATTTTTAGTTTATGGAAGTTGTTAAAAAATGTTCATAATGTGTTTAAAGTGTATATTATAGACTCTTTAAATTTCAAATTCCAGGCAACCACGTGAGTGAAACAAATACAGGAGAAATTAATTGGACCTACTACCCCCTTTGATGTATTTTATCACATAATGAAATGTACCTTATTTTTTATGTTGTTATATAACGATGCCTTTAAAATAAACCATTTAAAAAATTAACTTCTAGCACACACACACAGACCGAATTGTTTGAAGAGAAAGAGAAATGTCAAACATGTCTCCACCATATGTTTCTAGACTTTCACGCATCCGAGTACACTCAATTTAATCATTTTAATTTATCAATATCATTGAATCAACAAATATCGACAAAAACAATAGAAGTTAAGGTTGTGATTTGATCAAGATAACTTTTGAACATAATAGAAGACAGGTCAAGGTTCACATCTGCTAAGGTTACATTCTCTTTACACTACCGTCCATATTTGTCAATGGCCGCCAATATTTCACACGTCATAAGTTGACGATAAATACTAACTATTACTGATCGAATCCTTTATTATGATTGATGTCGTATTGGCGATAGATAAGTTTAATAGCTGTATAATTATTTCAATACCAATCAGTAATGGAATAATAATAAAGCGATATTGGTATGACCATAAACTCGGCATCTCTGCTGCTAGTCTGACGTTTATGGATCTTTTGATTAAGTTATGTTAACTCTGGCTTTTAGTTTAACTCTGGAGAAGTTTGCATATACTCTTTGGCCTGAAGATATTGTTTGTAAATTTTGAGATGCATCCAAAATAACTTTACGTAAAACCAACCAAAAGGTTGATTGAATTGATTTCTCCCTATGAACTGACCGTCAATTTCGTTTCTTCGATGACAAAATATGAGAGATTTAGATTATTCCATTATACTAAAACTATAGATAGAACAATGAAGACTTTAACACATAAAGAATTTACAGTTAGAAGAACACGAAGCATTTTTATTTTAGCATACAAAATGCTGACAATTTACATTAACAATGTTGAGTTAGTCAGTTTAACGTTACCGTTTTATGTTATAAAAAGGTGTTGAACATAAAACAAACAAAAACCTGCAAATCAATTGTGTGCATATAAATATTTCATGAGCTTTGATGCACATACTAAAAGCATTCTTCGCCACCTAGTTTCTGTCGCAGCCGTTCACCAGCAATGACATTTATACGATATTTAGTGAGCATGCATGGAGGTGAAATTCAAGAAAACTGTATGCAAAAGATATAAAATTGGAATAAAACATGAATATTGTTTTCAAATGTCAATAAACCGTGGGTCAGTTGTTCACACATTTCAAGAATGTTGGGTAATCTCATCGCATCTGGTAGCGTTATTTTAATCCGCGATTATAACGAGAAAGATATCTCTCTTCAGTATGTACTAAATGGATTTAAAGATAAAAGTTAAAACATTTTTTGCAAATTGAAGAAGCAAAAATATATGTAGAGGAGGTTGTAATTGTCAGGGCGGACAGTGTTGGGTATACTAAACTGAAGATAAGGATCAGAATTGATTGGAACGGTGATAAGCTGATGTAATGTTGATACAAATTCGTGGTGTGTGTCAAAATTTGATATGTTTATCATTCTTAAAAGCACACGGTGGGGTACTGCTTTCTGTTCCTGGTCTGAGAAAACATAATTTATGTAAGAACTTCATTATCAACAAGCATTTGACTTTTTTTAGCAAGATTATATTATGACTTCAGTAAATATTGTGTGCCATTCACCTCACATTGATTATTGTTGCTGTTTTATGTTAGAAATTGTGAAAGCTTTAAGACAACAAAAACAAAACACAATACTAACAAGGGTCGGTATTCTATCGGTACAACGCCGTCATCCAACATTCAACAGATAAGCTTTTTATAAATTAACACGAGAAATAGTGGTTTAAACTTTGATATATAATAAGAACAAAAGTTTCACATTCGTCAATGAGGCAGCAACCAAACGACACAAAACAATAAAAGACAACTTGAGGCCATTTTGTGCAATTTATCTGTTAAAAATCAAAGCTAAATCTGTAAAAAAATATTCACTTGTTTGCACTTTTTATGTTTTGAATAACAAAAATATGTAGAGGCATAATTCTCCAAACTTCATAAATTTCCAATATTAATATTTCATATAAAGGACACATACAGTACAGTTACTTTACGAATTCGGTTAATAAAGGAACCATGTACCATGTAATATTATAAAGACAACTTTTACAACTGTATTTAACTTTTAATCTGATTTTCAAATCTTTTATTCTCGAATACTTGAGAAAGTGGTCACATCTTTTATATCACATTATTTTCAAGATTATTATATTTTTTTTATCAAATGTATTAACTTAATTAACTTATAACTACTCAATATATGTTATAATATTACATTTTCTAATCAGTACATCTCAGATTTTCCATATTAGTAAAGATTTGTTAGATCATATCAGAAAGATCGCTCCGCTTGTTGAAAATATATCTTGATCTTTTATATGTTTTTGTCAAGGTTTATTCAGTAAATCATAGCAAGCTTTTAAACACCTTGCTTTATATCATAACTTAACTATCTTCTCTAGATATCACTGATTTGATGCATACAAGCACACTGAATAAGAAAGGCCTCATTTACTTTCTAATGTGTGTACTTTTGTATACGTAAAATAAATTAGCTAAGTGTAAACCTTGACGATTGATACATACCATAATCTTTGCCGCTATAAAGACCTTGTTCTTTACAAACGCGATAACATGCTTCGTTATATTCTACTCTCCATAGCTGATATATTGGTTAAAAAACCTTAAACCTTTCTACATAGTACTCACTATCGCATCTGTGATACTATTCTAAAATGACGTCATTTACACACAAAAAATGATAAAAATAATAAATCGTGATAATAATAAAAAAAAAATGATGTCAACAACTGTATTAATACCATGGATTCACAAATTCAATATCTTTAAAGTTTTTAAACCATTAAAAACTATTGAAGATGCATTAAAAAAATGTCTAAGCAAATCAGTTTATTTCTCCCTGTTCATAAATCCATAAAACTCATTTACAACTTTTCTTGATTGTACTTTCTTACCTTGAGCAAAACCTTTTGGTGAGGTTCGTGTTGCTCAGTCTTTAGTGTTGCTCAGTCTTTAGTGTTGCTCAGTCATTAGTGTTGCTCAGTCTTTAGTGTTGCTCAGTCTTGTTGCTCAGTCATTAGTGTTGCTCAGTCTTTAGTGTTGCTCAGTCTTTAATGTTACTCTGTCTTTAGTGTTACTCAGTCTATAGTGTTGCTCAGTCTTTAGTGTTGCTCAGTCTTTAGT